ATTGTTTATAATGACTTTTGCTAAAATTTCAAAATCAAAAGTTATCAAAACAAATTCTATGGGACTGAGAAGTATTATTTTCTACTTTTTAGTCCATTTATAAAAGCGTTGTATATTAAAAAGTTTTTTTTATATTATTTATTTTTGTTTGTTTAGTGTCTACTATTTTTTTATAAAAGTTGTACAAAACATAAAAAAATACAAAATAATTAAAAATTCAAGCTTTTTAATTTGAATTTCTATACAAATTTTGTGTAAGCAAATTTATAGCTTATTAAATTTTACTATAACTCAGTGTAAGCTTATAGTTGCTAAAAATCCCAATGACTTAAATATATTTTTGCCGACTGTGTTGTGAATTTTCTTGCATAAAGAAAAATTGTGTAATGTGTAGAGATATAAAGAAGAGACATTGTGAAGTCGTGCTTAAACTATCGATACTATCGACAGTATCCCAGCTCTAATGCGCTGGGCTTACTTGGATCAAAATGCACTAGAAACTTTTCGGAAGTTAAGTGAGTCTTAATTTCGGCCAATGCATTATCACATTCTGTGGTCCACTGAAAACCACGCTTTTTCTCTAAACATTGGTATAAAGGTCTACATTTTGTTGCCATATTTGGTATAAACCTTGCGTAATAATTTACAGAACCTAACATACTGCGTAATTCAGATACATTCGCAGGCGGAAGAACTTTTTGTACCGCTTCAACTTTGTATTTTATCGGATGAATACCATTTTTATTAATGCGATAGCCTAAATATACAACTTCATCCTGTAAAAATTTACACTTTGTAAAATTTAGTTTTAAACCTGCATCATCTAATCTACGTAATACTTCTCGTAAACGTCTTACATGCTCTTCTTTATTAGCCGCGGTAATAATAATATCATCAATATAAACTACTGCGCCCGGAATTCCCATCAATAAAGCTGTTATTTTTCGTTGAAATGAAGCTGGCCCCGTGGACACGCCATACGGCAACCGTGTGTATTTAAACAAACCTAAATGTGTACTAATAACGACGTATTTTTGTGATTTTTCATCTATTGGCAATTGTTGATACGCTTCCGCTAAATCCAGTTTTGTGAACTGTTCGCCACCACGTAATTCGTAAAATACCGATTCGGGTCACGGAGATGGAAAATGATCTATTTCCAAAAATGGATTCAACGTGATTTTAAAATCACCACATACTCGAACTTGACCGCTTTCTTTTATTATAAATAAATAAATTATGGGGACTATTGGAGTTCCCCACTCACTATATTCAATTGGTACTAAAACTTTATTTTCAATTAAACGATCAATTTCTGCTTCCACTTTATTCCGCAAAGCAAAGGGAAGTTTACGTGGCAGTAGAAATTTTGGCTGTGTATTTGGCTTTACTTTTAATGACAACGTTCCGCGATTAAATAAACCGAAACCGTTTTTAAAAACTTCGTTCGCAAAGATTCAATGTGGGATTCATTAACCTTATTAATACATTTAATACTTTTATTTGAAACTTCTTCTGAAAATTTTAGTGGCCACATTTGTAAACCATACATCCACTCTCTACCTAAAATCGGATAACCACCTTTATTAATTACATACAGTTTTTGCTTTATATTTTGACGTTCAATATGAACAATAATTTTACCCTCCGCAGGTATTTGTTGATTGTTGTACGCACGTAAGGTGGCATCAACAGCTTGTAATGGAATGTGAAAAATTTTTTTTATAACATTATAATGAAATAACCTGAATCAGTTTCCATATTGATTGGTACATTATTTATACTAATAGTTTCAACCTGAGGTTCAATTATTGTATGCTTAATTTTGATTGGTTCAGCCATTTCACTATTTATTTGGGTTTCGTTAATTGCATGATGATAATCATAATGTAACGCACTGCTATTTGCTAATTATCACTTACATGTTCATCGTTTTTATTACTATTATTATTACTAGCTAAACCATCTAAATTTTCACGTTCCTCAGGCTCTAGTGGACTTTGAACATTATTTATTCTTTGATCTGATTGGGAACACTTTTTGTTAGAACACATTTTGAAAATGTGACCTTTTTCACCATACTCGCTACAAAATTTGAACCTGAGAGAGCATTGGAAATTTTGATGGTTGTTTTTACCGCAACAAGTACACGTAACTCTCTCGCTCGCCTGTGTGTAACTTAACTGTCTGTAGTTATTGTTGTTATTATTTCGATTTGACCGCTGCTGCCGTTGAAGGTTATTCGTTCTCTTCGCTTGGCCCCTGTAGTGCTGCGACTTCCCGCGCTGGCCGTCATATAATGTTCTCACGTTATGTATACCTGCTACCTTCTGCTCCGACTTCGACCGTTTTTGCCAATTCCGTTAATTCTTTCAACGATTTGCTAGACTCCATCAGCTCATACTTCATTAGCTTTCTGGAAACGCCCGAAATGAATTGATCTTTCAGCTGGGTATTTAGTTCGGATGATGAGAATTTACACGGTGTCGATAACGCTTTTAGAGCCATTAAATAATCTTGAACACTTTCATTTGTCTTTTGCTTCCGTTCGCGGAAAACAAAACGTGCTGCATATTCACCTTTATCAGGGTCATACAATTACATTAATTTTTTTTTCCAAATCCTCATTGATTAACTCAGTGTGAGGGCAGGACTAGGATGAATGTATTTGCATAAAAAAGCAAAAGTGTTTTGGGTAGGCGTCGGTGCCAATGATAACCATCAGTTACCACCTCTGCATGGTTGTAAGTCATGCAGAGTCCCTACGGCTTGTAGCGCTGTGGCTTTGCCGCTTAAACTCTGTAAGAGTTTTTGGGGGTGTGCGTCAAGCGGAGTGTTGAGCACCGGTTATTTATTTAACTTCAAAAATTGGGTAGGCGCTGCGGCCAATGGTAGCTCTTGTACCACCTCTGTATGCCGAAGGGAATACAGAGCCCCGTGAGACAACTCCGGGAGCGTTGTGATGCATCAAGCAAGTTTGTTGAGCATGATTTGGGGTGCCAGCAATTAACTACTTTAGTAGGTTTTGTTCTGCGGCAGTTGAGAAGTGCATAAAAAAATGCATACCCAGTGAAGAACGAGCGATTTATTTATAAACACAAGTGCGTGTGTTTATTCGCTGCACTTGGGTTTGGGCGGGAGTGCAATACAAGTACATGTGTGTGTTCGCTGTTCTTTGTTTATGCGGGAAATGCATAAGTCGCTTAAACACTCATACTTCATATCATTTAAAGCTTGTGGCTCGCATTCAGCTTTCAACTCTTTGTACACTTCTGGCGATAAAAGCGTTAATAATAATGTAGGCTTCTTGGCATCCGCGATGTCGTTTAGCATAACGTACGCGGAGAGTTGTTCTAAAAATTACCTTAACTCGCCTTTCTTTTTAAAAGGTTCAACATGTCCTAACAGCGACATTTTTTTATGCGTGCGTTTTGTGTCTTTAACAACTTCACTTTTCGAGTTTTCTAGATTGCCTTTTGTGTCACTCAAAGCATTTGCGTCGCTATTCTCGATACTTTTATCAGACGAATTATTTAACTGTTCTATATATTGTTTTCCGCGATAATTTTTTTAATACACTTTAATAATGATTTTCGTAAATGTTCAACTGCGAAACTTTCGTCAGCGAGAATGTGAAAATATGCACAGACTTGCACCAGGTTAGCTTTACTCAAAGTATTTATCCACGAGGTGTGTTTCAACGAAATTTCGTTATGTATGAAATCCCAGTTCCCACCAGTCATTTAAACTTCACTATTCGATTTTTATCAATTTATTTCCGCTTTTAACCCTCGTCGCCATTTGCTATATTTTCATCAAGTCAAATAATCAAATCCCGTCTGAGTTTAGTAAGCACACGTTTATTTAGATTAAAGCTGCCGAGGTTAATTAGCCGGCATGTAGGTTAGACTCCATCAGAGAGACTGATAATATATTACAAGCGAGGGCAGCAGTGCTGCCTAATTTGTTATCGGAAGGTGCGTTCGCGTACCGTACGAGCCGGCATTACAAGTTATCGCAACTTCGTGGACCCCTATTTACAACTCATGGACCCCCATATTTTTTCACATCACCGTGGCCCCCGTCGAGTCTTCCGTGGACCCTGGGGGTCCACCTGGACCACTTTGGGAATCACTGCCATATACGGTGTGATAGCAAACCGTTTCGCTCGGCCGCTACGCAAGTGATATATGTCACCGAAGTGCCGCTGTCGTGAAAGAGTGCACAGTTTTCATCGCTTCCTACCAATTCCCACGTAATCAGCATGTCGGTGTCGCTTTCATATCGTATCGCTTATCGCGTCGCCTATCGTATCGCGTATCGTATCGGTCTAATGTGCACCATGCCTTACTGTCAAAACTGTAAATATAGCAACACTGCCTGTATATGTAGTATCATACATGTATTTAAAGATCTCATAAGTTTGATTTTTCCTTTCAAATTTAATAAAACAATGATGTCTCCAAATACCATAATTCGCATATTTTTCAGATGAAATTGCCAGTCATATTAGAAAATGTTGCATAAGCGGTATTCAGTACGCTAGTAAGCAATATAACTGTGAGAAATACGATTACGAAGTGGCCACAATACCGCCATTGTGGCGTGGTCTCTGCCATTCGACTTATGGCGTCTGCTGCTCCCGCAAGCTGGAAGAGCAATATTGCGTAGCCGGCCGCCTTGCTGCTTTGAAGGGCTCACGCTGCGATGAGCAATACAATACCACCGCCTTTCCTGAATGCTGTCGCGCCTGCCAGGTGGGACTGGCCGTCAAGGCCAGTAATAATGATTGTGACAACGCACTCTTCTCATATTTCCATAAAATGGAAACATATAACATTTGCTGCGACGGAAAAACAAGAAACAAATATTCCGGCGCCATTATAATTGATGACAATGTCGCCGGGCGTTCATTCAAAGAAAAAACAAACCAGCTGAAAAGCGAAGCCAGCAATTACTTAAATGGCTCAGAGGAAGAAGCACAGACGAATATAGGCGACGAATTGATTGCCAATGGCAGTGATGGAACAATCGTACTGCCAGGAGATGATGGTAAGTAAAGCAAATAAGTATGTATGTGAATCTCATAACACCTTGCGAGGTTCCATTTGCATGTCTGTTCAGATGACATATGCGGCAAAGTGCCGAATCTGTGTGCCCAAATTTGTGAGAATACTAAGGAGGCGTATCGCTGCAAATGCAACCCTGGTTATAAGTTGGATGAGAATAATGTCACTTGTTCCCGTATCAACAACGGTAATAACATTTTAGTAAATTGCTAATATAATCAAACGATTCTGATATAATCTAATATAACCTGTCCTTATTTAATCGAATCTAATATAATCAAATATATTTACATACATAATCAAAATTTAATAGACCCCGATGTAGAAATCAACGCTGACAACGAACTAGTTGACGAGGAGGAGGAAGTGATTGATGACGATGGCGACGGGGATAGTATTGCCGTCTTGGAATCGGAATTAAAAGGCGATGAACACAAGCAAATTTCGAAAGCGGGCTCTGCTAACAAGGATGACTCGATGAAGTGCAGCAGTGGCTATGAATTCGACTACACCAAAGGAAAATGCACTGATATTAATGAGTGCGCCAATAAGTTGGACGACTGCAAAAGTAGTCAATATTGTCATAATACAGTCGGTGGCTATCACTGTTTGAGTGTGAATTCGAAGAAGTGCGACCCGGACAAGGAGAAATGTGAAAACGAATGCAACGCCGGTTACCACTATAAAGATGAAGACTGTGTTGATATCGACGAGTGTGCAGTGGATGTGTTTGCGTGTGACAGCAGTCAGGTGTGTAGCAATGACAACGGCGGATATCGCTGTGATTGCAAATTAGGGTTTAATTTGGATACTACCACAAACGCTTGCATTGGTGAGTGCAAACACAAATTTTTTAAACCAAAAACTTGTCATAAATATTTCGGATGAATTGAAAACTATGCGCAATTTTATGTTAATGCATGTCCCATTTTGAGTGTTTTAAAACTGTACTTAAGTTTGTGACATTTCAATACAATATATGCATAGTAATTTAAGAACTGGAAAAGAATTTATAAAATTTTAAACTGGTCACAAATTTACGGTAATTAAAAATATCGACACATTTTTCTCTAAATACAGTTTTGAAAATTAAAAACTGGTATTAACCTTTTTTTTATTTTAAAACGGATCATTGAAAATGTGGACATAAATATTTGGTGATTTATGTAAACTTTTAGCTTTTAAACTCTGAGTTAAGGAATGTTTCATCCATCTACATTTCTCAGATATAAATGAGTGCTCGATTAACAACCATAATTGCCTTCCGACGCAACGTTGCGATAACACATACGGGTCGTATGTCTGCGTGCGACTTCAAAGCTGCGGTACTGGCTACACTCTAAACGCCGGAACAGGGAATTGCGACGGTGAGGAAATCTGCTTTTACTAAGCTGTCTGATTATATGTTAACCTAACCGGGCCTATTTTTGTAAGTTTGGTCATTTACGCCTACTTTTTCTTGTTTTTTTTTAGATGATGATGAGTGCGCCTTAGGTACCCACAACTGTCCAGCGGATTACGAGTGTCATAACACGAAAGGTTCATTCCGCTGTTACCGCCATATGCCGTCGACCGTACGAGCCACAACAACAATAAGGACGACTACAACAACATCTACTCCGACGACACCCGTCAGTGGCTTATCTCCCTATAACTATCGAAACCGAACGGCTTACAGTTATCCGAACAATTACGCTTCGCATCTGACACACAGCCAAACTTATTTGCGTGAGAATTCACCGCGCTATATCGGGATTACAGAAGCTGTTAATAAACCTTCACCGCCTCCATGCGGCATAGGCTTCCATCGCAACCATTTGGGCGCTTGCGTAGGTAAGTACATCTGTACTTAAAGCACATACTCGTAATGCGGAACTGCAGAACTTAGGCCGCTGAGCAATAGGAAATTCACATAGTGACACCAACCTGTTCTAGGCAATACCAGAATTTCGTAATGCACTTTCCAGTCCATTACTGTAATATTCTCGGCTTCCTGTAACTAACCGTTGGCCTCTTGGGTACCCGAAGGCTACAAACAGATTCCACTATTTGTGAGAACAGAACCAGGGACCGAACGTAACATTTATTCATGAAAACTGTCATTGAAAAATTCACTATGAAGGAAATGTTCTACAACTAAGTAAGTGATACATACCAATCGATTTATTTTTTTGCCGAGAATCAAATTTTAAAATACATTTTTATTTGTAATTTTTATGCAAAATTAAAAAAATAACAATTATTTTTGATATATCTTTTATAAATCCAAAATAACAATTATTTTTGATTATTATATAAATAACACAGTTCGACAAATTTCGGCCTTCTTTACCACCTGAGTAAAACACGTCGTTTGTTTGTTTGTTTATTTGGAAACTTCATCCTAGCACAACAACTGTAAATTATAAAATTAAAAATATTTAGTTAAGAAACATAAAAAACATTAATAACTATTAAAAATATATAGAAATCGAATCTTTTAAGCCTTCACAATTTTGGATAGAATTGACAGAGCCACACGATTACGCATTTTCACAAAATCGTGTCAAACTTAGGTTTCGATCGATCCTAGTTTTATTTGTGCCAAAAAGGTAGCAACAAGAACCATATAAATCTGTACAAATGTACCCCTCGTGTGAAGCGGCCTCGACAGTATAGTATAGTATGGTATAACGAACGTACAAGAGGAACATACATACAATTTATACATACATATTTAGAATTAACTATAGTAGAAACTGGTTAACTTATTTTTGAAACGCAGTGCATTGTTGATTGACCTTATTCTAATAGGTAGTGAGTTCCAAAGACGGATAGAGTTAATGAAAAATTGACGTTCCGATATTTGAATTCGATGTTTAGGAAGGACTAGCAGCACTGACCTCGTAGACTGAAAGAATTGGAGTCTTCGATATAAATATTCCAGTTCCTCTGTCTTACTTTTAGCAAATTTACAAAGGGATGTTGAGCAACCTCTCAGCATGATCAGACACGCGGTCAAGTCTACTTAGCCCAAACACATATCTAGCAATGTTGTTGTAAGCAATATTTAGTTTTCTTTTACAGGCACAGGCACAATTAGCATAAATCCCACAACCGTACAGGAGCGTAGGTATTAAGTATGCTTCAGCCAAAAGTAGTCGAATGTTTAAAGGTGTGAGGTACTGTGTTAACCAGAGTGTACGGAGCATACCATACTATTTTCCTGCTGCGCTAAAAATTTATTTTTTTTCATGTCAATGTTTTGTTAAAGACTACTCCAAGATTCTTGACCGTGTCGACGTATTCAATTACTTAATTGTCCAAAGTGATCTTATCTAGGCCATCAGAGGCAATAGATTTTCTATGAATGATGATACATTTCGATTTGACAGGGTTAACACATAAGCCGTTCATAGAAGCCCATTACCCTATTTGGGTTAAGTCATAGTTCAAATCTTTGATACACATACTAATACGATCAGGGGGACAGCAAACATATAATTGGACGTCATCAGCATAATATGTGGGCATTACAATATTTAAGGACGTTAGGCAAATCATTGACGTACAAAACTAATAACAAAGGTCTCAGGATTGAACCCTGGACCCCACTAGCTACGGCTAGGAAATCAGAATACTTGCTACCAATACTCAATGCCTGAGTTCTGCCGCTGAGATAAGATCTGATCAGTGTGCATGCTGGACCAGAGAAGTTAAATAAGTTATCCACCTTTTTACATAATATCATGAGGTCCACTGAGTCAAAGCCCTTTGAATTATCATCAATTTGCGATCGAATACTTTCGATTACGTGCAAGAGTGCTGTTGTATAGCTCCTTTTAGATCTAAAGCCCGATTGGTGGTCTGTGTGAAGTCTGTTGTGTTGCACATAATAAATAATTTGTTCATGTAAAATGCGCTCTACCACTTTTGATAGAAAGGGAAGAATAGCTATTGGTCGATAATCGTTAACGTCGACACTGGTGGTCAAAATTGAGTTGACGAAGTAAGTCACGTGCGGTAGAATTTTATGTAGTACTAACAGACCCTGCGAACTTCGTCCCGCCCAAAATTATTTTTTTTATTGAAACGTTTGGATAAACGTTTTCGCTAGCAATTCACGTTCACGTTTGGTTTTGTGGTCGACAGAAGGCATATCCTCCATTGCCGTCTAAAATACCTGACGAAGGCGTTATACCAGGAAGAAGTCCTTGCGGCTCGATGGTGAACCGTCCTTGAATCTGTATAGTATATTTGGTAGCAATTTCCAAACTGGTGAGTATCTTTGGTCCACATTCTGTTTGGTCACCATAAAGCAAGGACCGTAATGGTTCTGATGGTTGATTTAACGGGGGTATTTTGACTTTTGAATAACTCGGCTCCAACGCCACCTTGCACATCTTTTTTTGCAATAGTATTGCCCCTATCGTTACCAATATATATATATATATCTCGAATATGAGTCAAATCGGATCACAAATACGATTTTGAGTAATAACTCGACTTCAGCGCCACCAGGCGGTTTAAGTTGAAACTTAAACTATACAGGGACCTACCCAAACGCATAAAAAAATGTCGCTAAACCCGTTTCGGTCGTTTAGGAGGAGTTCACCCACCAGAATAAGTCTTTTACGTACCGACACTCTTCAGAATTTTTTCCCATACAAAAAAAAACTGTCACGCATTCGTTATACGGAAAAAATTCGCAACATCATCAGCGAAAAAGTTCGGTAACTTATAGCCATTTAAAACTTGCAATTTATGATACTGAAATTGAGTGAACTACAAAACTGCATACTCAAAATTTGGTGCCAATTGATGCAAAATGAACTATATTTCTATAAAAAATAAACAAAAAAATTTATCTTTTCCAGTAGCACGAAATCTCTATACCGATCTGCAGGACACTACCCCAAATACTTCCAGAGATATACGGTATGAAAAATTCGATATGCATTGGTGATGCCACGCTCCCTTAATATATCGAAAGTCTGCACTAGGTGACCAAAAATTCAAAAAAATCGGTACAGCCGTTCGCGAGATCACCTCTTATAAAAAGGAGGAGCTTCTCTTTATATAATTAGTGTAGGTAATACAGGGCAACGCCGATTTTGATGCGGCAAATGTTAAAGCTGTTTTCGATAGACTTTTTTGTGCTGATTACGAATCCGCAAGTATAAAGTTTCCATTATCTCTAGGTTTTGAAAAAAACGTGATGAAAGTGTCAAAAATTTCCTCTTTTTTGCAATATTTGAGAAGATCTAGCAAGGAAACGAAAGGTGATAGAACCTTTCTTCTTCTTCTTATTCTTAATTGGCACTGTAACTGCCTAAGCGATTTTGGCCGAGTTCAACAAAGCACGCCAGTCGTTTCTCTTCTGTACCAACTGACGCCAATTGGAAATGCCAAGTGAAGCCAAGAACCTTCCACTTAGGCTTAAATTAAAGCTAGAACTACAGATTACTATCCCTGACAATACTATTCCTGCACCTTGCCCTGATGGTCACAATAATAAAAAAAATATTGAAAAATTATGCAATTGAAAAAAAATTGTGTCAAAATCAGGGTTAGCTGTTCAATAAATGACTATAGGTGACCTGAAGTCAGAAGTCCGAGCCTTTATTTAAGCCTAAGTGGAAGGTTCTATCACCTTTTCCTTAATTGCGGTAGGTACTCAAACTTCCCAAAATCAGTTTTTCAGGTTCATCAAATGACTATAAGTGACCATCAAGCAAAAGTGCAGGAATTTTCAGGGATGGTATTCGAGATTTTTAGCTTTAATCTAAGCCTAAGTGGAAGGTTCTACCACCCTTTTTTCTTTGCTAGAGCTTCTCAAATATTGCAAAAAACGCGATTTTTTGACACTTTGACCTCGTTTTTCTTAAAATCTGGAGCTGATGAAAATTCTATGCTAACGGATTCGTAATCAGCACAAAAAATCTGCCAAAAATAGAGTTAATATTTCCTGCATTATATTTTTCCATTTTAGTTGGCCTGTGTAATAAGCAGGGAACGGATTTTTAGGACCTAAAAACCTATAAAAAAGGCAAAATAAAGTAACGAAATAGGCTGGAAAAGGCAAAATAAAATAGCGAAAAAGGCACTAGGTATTGCAAAAAAGGCAAAAAAAGGCAAAACAAAATAGCGAAAAAGGCAGGAAAAGGCAAAAACAAAGGTATTGACAAAAAAGCAAAATAAGGCAATAAAAAAAAGACAGAAAATACGAAGAACAATCAAAAAATATATTTATTTTAGAAATTTTTATATTACAAGTAAAAAAAGAGAAACTATGAACTAGGTTCATTATATGAAAAATTTTTACTATTTTATCCTTTCGAGTTTCTAACTCATAAAACTTTAATCTGTATACTTGTAGTAACATTGAACCACAAGATGCATTTTGAAGTTTTCTGGCAGCATTTTCATTCGATGTTCGCGAAGAAAAGCCTTGAATGTACTAAATGTGCGCTCGACGTAAGTTGATACAAGTGGAGCCCAATTTAAATATGGAACGTTTGAAACGTTCATATTATCAGGAATAAGGGCGTTTTCCTCGCCCTTTACAATTTTATCCACACCCCTTATTGTCTCCAAGCCTAGGTTAGCTGAGAAAACGGCTTTGAATTTTTCCAACACCAATTTGGCAAGAGGTCCCTGCGCTTCTATAAGCCGCATGGGCATGTGTATATTTTTTATTCTTAAAAAAAAAATTGTAAATGCTATAATCACTTTTTTAAAGGTAGAAAAGGCAAAAAAGGCAAATATCTTAAAAAAGGCAAAAAAAAGGCAAATATCTTAAAAAAGGCAAAAAAGGCAACATCAAATGTGTATATATGGAATCAGGGAAAGCT